GTGTGTGTGTGTGTGTATGTTGTGTGTGTGTGTGTGTGTGTGTGAGAGAGTGAGGGAGAGTGTGTGTGTGTGTGTGTGTGGGTGTGTGTGTGAGTGTGTGTGTGTGTGGGTGTGTTTGTTGTGAATCGCTGCCCCCTGCAGGGTCTGTGTGAGTTGGGTCCTGTTGGAATGGAGATATGAGTTGGTGGTCTTACTGGAAGCTCTTGTTCCTCCCCCAGCTGGTCCTTTGGCGTGCTGCTCTGGGAGATCTTCACACTGGGCGGCTCACCGTACCCTGGCATTCCTGTCGAGGAGCTCTTCAAGCTGCTGAAGGAGGGACACAGGATGGACAAGCCATCAAACTGCACCAACGAGCTGTGAGTAAAGGGACCCACACGGTGGGCCGTGGCTGAGGGTGCTTGGAGGGAAGCATTCCCCTCCATCCAGTTTGCTCATGTCCGAAGGACTCAGGTGGAGGGGACAGTTTGGGATGTGAACCGAATGTGCAGACCTCCCTCAGAGATGTTATCACTGAGACCAGCCTGGCAATCGAATTTGGACCCAGTCCCTGTCATCCTGTCAGCTACACCTCTGTAAAGGCACAAGTCTCTTGTTCAGCGTTAACCTCACTAGACCGGTCAGCTCCTGGCCACACTGGATGGTGCTGGCAGCCAATTGTTCAGATAGATCGTACATTTTGTTAGAATAATGAAAATCTGCCCCTTGGCCTTGTTCCCTCTCCAGCGCCAAGCCACTGAATTGAGGCAGTCCATGGGGAGAGGTGAGCTCCCGCCTGGTCACAGTCGGGGATTATTGGAGAGACATGCTGCAAGTGAGATCAGGTGCTTCACGAGGCAAATGGTCCCCTCCAGCAGAATGTTCCCCACCCCTGCCTGACCTTGTCCCACTGTGTTGCACTGTGGTTAAACAAAGACCCAAGAGATAAGAACCCAAAGGACTGCGGATGCTGTAAATCGGGAACAAAAACAAAGTTGCTGGAAAAGCTCAGCAGGTCTGGCAGCATCTGTGAAGGAAAAAACAGAGTTAATGTTTCGGGTCCGGTGACCCTTCCTCAGAACCTGTTACATGCCAACCTTGCTGTTTAGAAACGTCAGGGTGTTTGCAGTGTTTCGTCTTTGAGAATTGAGAGGGAATCTTTGTGTAGTGCTTCTGATATGCCAGGCCAGCCGTGGAAGAATCCCCTTTTGACCACCACCTCCAGGACACAGGCTCCCTTGTGCAGTGCGTACACAATGTTGTGACTCTGCCTGCTCTGGATTCCTGGGCAGGCTGGTCATGGTGTGTCTGTGAGTATGTAGCAGTAACTTTGAATGTTTATCAGATTTGTCACGAGTGGCTGTACGCCGTTTGACTGAGCCCATCGCTGAGATGAAGAACTCTTTCTGAATACCGCTGACAGTCTTCACTAAACGCTCTGTGGAAGAACTTTTCATCCAGTTCTGAGCATAGCTGGTGTGAACACAAAGTGTGTCGAGTCCTGCTTCGCTCCTGTTTGCTTCTGTTTCGGTGAATGCTGGCATGTGGACTCAGAGGAGATTTGGAAAGCTTAAATCATACAAGACCCTTCAGTAAGATAAAGGAGGCAGGAAAGAACTTAAACAAGAAGTTAGGAGGGCAGAAAAGGGCTAGCAAGTGTCCTTGGCAGATAGGTTTAAGGCAATTTGTACATTTTTTACATGTTTTAGGACAAAGAGAGTAGCTAGGGGAAGGGTAGGTCTACTTGAGGACAAAGGAGGGAATTTATGTGGGAGTTGAGGACCTTAATGAGTAACTTCACATTGGTATTCACCAAGGAGAAGGCCTGAATGGTGGTAAGGTTAGGGAGGGGTATGTCAATATTAAGTTGGCAGATTGCAGAAAGTGGTGGAGTTATGAACAATGAGGAAGGTTACCAAAGGATATGGATCAGCTGGAAAGCTGGGCGGAGAAATGGAAGATGGAGGTTAGTCCAGACAAGTGTGAGGTGATGCATGTTAGGAGGGCAAATGCAAAAGGAAATGATCCTGCAAATGCCAGACACTTCAGAGCATTGACGGACAGAGGGATGTTGGGGTCAGAGCTCCCTGAAACTGGTAACACAGCAGATAAGTTGTTAAAGAAGGTATGCTTGCCTTCATTGATCACGGCATTGAGCGTTAAACTGGCAAAGTCGTGTTGCAGCTACACAAGACTTTAGTTCGGCCACGTTTGGAATATTGTGTGCTGTTCTGGCCACCACACCGCAGGAAGGATCTGGAGGCTTTGGAGAGGGTGTGAAAGCAGATTAACCGGGACATTACCTGGATTGAAGTGTATCAGCTATGGGGAGAGATTGGCTAAACTTGCATTGTGTATGCGAGAGCATTGGAGACTGAGGGGGCGACACAATTGAAGGCCTCTTGTGGCACAGGAGGCCTGGGGTCAAGAGCCGCCTGCTCCAGGGGTATGTCCCTGTAAAACGATGAGACACCAGGATAGGACAGACAGTCAGTGTCTTTTTCCCAGGATGGAAATGTCAAATACAAAGGGGCATAGTGAGAGAGGCAAAGTTTCGAGGAGGTTTGCAAGGAAAGATTTTTACACAGAGGGTGGTTGGTGCCTGGAACGCACTGCCAGGGTAGAAGCAGATAAGCAGCATTTAGCCAGGGACATGAACAGGCAGAGAGTAAAGGGGTATGCACCATGTGCAGGCAGATGGGATTAGTTTAAAATTGAGTCAAGACCGGTACAAATATAGTGAGCCGAAGGGCCTGTTCCTGTGCTGTACTGCTGTGTGAGAAAACTTACAGCTGAACAGAAACCTGCTTCCTTCCCGCATTTATTAAGCACCGGGTTTTGAAAGGACTGGCCTCCTCGGAGAGTGAGGGGAAGCAGGTGACTCCATCCATCCACCAGCAACTCTGTTTGAAACTACACACCATGCTCGTGGCCAACTCCATCAGCCAGGTTCCAGGCTAGAAATGAGCAGTTCTCCATCTGGTGACCTGGGTCCCCTGCCTGATCAGGCTGTTGCTCAGTCAGCCACGAGTCTGCCTGTCCCACCGACTGGACGCACCAGGCACCCAAAGGTGGCTGGTCAGGTGCTGAGGTTAAAATGTTCCTCCAGATCGAGTTGAAATGGTCCTCAATGTTTCAGAGAGACAAAGCTGGAAGGCTGTGGCATACTGAGTACACCTCAGGTTAACTGTGGCTGGAAAGAGGAGGGGCAGCTGACGGGTTCATACTGGGAGCTGCTTCGTACTTCTGACCAAGGGGAGTGCCTGACACATCAGCCTGTCTTGCTGTTCCCTGAGGTCGATGGCTCAGTTTGTTCTGATCTGGGCCCGTCCGGTGCAGGGATCCTCACCTACCTGGTGCACGTACCTGAGGGAAGCAGCCTTTTCAAATTGGGAGTGCAGGAGGACGTGATTCTCCACCGGGTATGCACCATCACAACACATCACCCAAATGATTTGAAATGTTCGTTGTTTTCTTCACTGAAGCCAATGAGACACTTATCTTGTGTCCTCATTTTTTGCAACTCCTGCCCCTTCCTCAAGTCGAATTCCCAACCGGGACATTATCCGAGAACTGCCCCTAGTTTCTCCAAGCGCAATATTAGAGAAGGAAAACGCTGGGCTGTTTGCAAAGTTTCACTTCCTAGAATTGAGGGAATCTTGCTGAGGTGCTGCGTGTGTAGAGGAAGCTTCCAGAATACTGACCTGACAGTGTCTGACTGGAACTCCTTTGTTAAATGGTCGCAGTGTTGAGTCTTTGGCTTCAGCCTCTGCCAGGCCGCATTTGTGAGGTGGACCCGTGTGGTGGTGGGATCTTGCTTTGCACAGTGGCGTTGACTGTATCGAATGTGCTTCCTCTATTCTGCCCCCAGGTACATGACAATGAGAGACTGCTGGCATGTTATGCCCTCCCAAAGACCAACCTTCAAGCAGCTGGTGGAAGACCTGGACAGGATTCTGGCAATGACTTCCAATCAGGTGAGAGATGGGCTTCGGCTGGGCTTGGGGCCTTGACCCGGACGACCAGGGGAATGTGTGGGCCGCACCCCCCCACAAACCTCTGCCTCTCCAGCGCTGGCATAGAAGGGAGCTGAGGTGTAACAGTCTGTTGGCATGCTGCTAGCGCTGTCAGAAACCAAAGGCCCAGATCCTGAAACAGCTGCTGGGTGTTTCCCGAGTCTGGGAGAACTGAAGCAACATTCCCCTGGTATCTGAACGTAGCCGAATGTATGTAATCCAAAAATACACTCACGCTGGGTGAGAGAACATTTGTACTAACCGCTGCCTTGAGGTAATATTTGGCTTTGGGAAGGGAATGTAGAAAGGCTGCCTGAAACAGAGTGAAACAAAGAGGAATCTTTCGGAGATGTACAGTACAGCTGAGAAAGGCCATTTACAAAGAGGTTGACTTGGCCAGGCCCACTGCAGAAAGCCAACAATCGGGCCTTGCAGATGTCTGCTACCTTGGTGAAGCCTCTCAGTTCCTGGCTAGTGGCGGTGTTAGTTTGGAGATTGAGTTCATTGCTTATTTTGTCTTGTTGGCTTTGCAGGACTACTTAGACCTGTCGGTCTCCTTGGATCAGTATTCACCCAGCTTCCCGGATACAAGAAGCTCCACATGCTCCTCCGGCGAAGATTCCGTCTTCTCTCACGAGCCTCTGCCGGAGGAACCCTGCCTTCCCAAGTATCCAGGACACGGCAATGGATGCCTGAAGCGGAAACACTGAGCACAGTCGAACTCCCCGAGCTCACCGTCTTTAACTCGCTGAGTCAAAGCTGGTTTCCCTGCCCAGCCGTGTGTTGTGGCCTGTGGAACGTTCTTGTCTTCGGAGGCTTCCTCCCCCACCCCCACCCCTCCCCCCTGCCGCCGTTGCGAACCAACCTTTGTCAACTTTTCCTTGTTTCAGCAAAGCCGCGAGCCATTCCCAGAGGTGATCTCACTGAGCCGAAGCATTCTGTTGGCAGGGGGAGGCGAGGACAGGCATCGGTGGAAGCCTTCAGGAGCTGGACTGTGTGAGGCGTTGCCTGATCATTGAGAATTTTGTCTTGCAAACCCCCCTCAACCCCCTCACTCCCTTTCTCCAGAACTCCCAGCTCCACAGTCTGTCTCCCTTACCTGCCTCCCCTCCACCACCAGTCTACAGGTCTGTAAGAGGCCAGCTTCATTCGGGCAGATCCATTCAAACCAGTGGACTTGCAGCCTGTATTGGACAGACAGTAAGCATGCCCCCCCCGCCCCACCCAAATCCAGGGAAGAAGGCTCTTCACATGGAGCGGTGGAGTCTGATGACTTTCAACAAGGAGGGATCTTCCATTGACCACAAATTCCTGTGTGCTTCCTCGCTTGTGGACTACACTCAAGTTGCTGCCAGCTCCTCCCTGTGTCTTACAGCTGGCATTCTGGTCAGGGACCGACAAGCACAAGCTGGTACATGGAATGCCATTCGTTTTCCAATTGGGAACTTAACTCCGACAGGGCGCAGAAAACAGCTCTCCTTACTTTTTGTAAATATAGCCAAATATGTATAAATATAAATATATTTACAGGAATTTTTTTTTTTGTTTTTGTAAAGAGAAAGGGGCGATTGCCACGATATGTACCGGTAGGAATTTACATATAGATATCACAATTGTCTCGGCTTTGTTCTTAGCTTGGGCTTTCTGCAGGATCTCAATAAAGGGAGGGGTGGGGGTTTGTTCAGAGATCGGGGCATTCTGGTGATGGACTTGGGATTTGTCATAAATAAAGGAAATATATTGGAACTGGATCTGTTATGTCTTAGGTACAAGGGATAGCAGAGAGATGGGCTGAGTGTCAGCCGGATATCATGGTGGACTGAATAACAGCCTGGGAAACGGTGTGTGTTTTTAATGTTTGGTTTTTTCCCCCCTTTGGGATTTCCCATGTGGCATTTTGTGACCCAGCTGGGGCAAAGTTGGCACTCAGCAACAACGATATTGCCCCTTTGAGAGAGATTGCCAACAGTGGGTCTGTGCTATAGTTCTTTGCTCATGGATTGTGAGAATGGGATGTCGGGTTACCCTGTCTCAGTCTCTGGATCACTTGATTCCTGCCCCCTGCCCCCACCTCGCCAGCCCTGGGCCATGCCAGGTATCAACGTGTTGGGGTGCTACTGATGGAGCTGAGACTGTCAGGTGATGCCACGCTGGAGAACAAGATGGCCTGTCATTTTCCACACTGAGGAGCCCAAGGAGGTGCTGAGGAAACTCACTGAAGGCTGATTCAACTGGGAATCAATGCTGAGATGTCACCGCCACCCACCCCCACCCCGTCAGGAGTTGGGTGCCAGTATGGGGCAGTCAGTGTGAACCTGTTGATGAAGGCGGATGGAAACGGTGCCATCACAATGAAGACTGGCCCGCTTGTGCCAGTGGCTCCCAACAGCATTGTTTCCCATGTCGAGCAGCCTCTGGGCAGTAGGAACAAAGCCTGCAGTGTGAAAGCTGGCAGCTGGCCGAGTGAGGGCAAAGCAGGGTAGTGCAGCGCTGTTGCTGGGCAGGCCCTGTCAGCTTTGCCAGGTTGGTGTTGGCACACCGCTTAGTGGCGGGAGAGACATTGTTCGCCACCTCCCGCTGCCCCTCTGTCACTGACTGAGATAATGCTGGCTGTCAACAGGTTACAAATGATCTCTGAACCTGCAATCTCTCGGGTAATGTTCTCACACGTAGCATGAGTCAGATGGTCCAGCACACGAGGAGGCCGTGTTGTCTCTGTACTCACTGTTGGAGAAGATGTTTTATTATCCTCATTCCCCTGTCTATCCCCAACAGACCATCAGCAGTTTTTTTTTGTGAGTGACAATTGAAACTGTCTCTCCCAGCCTTTCAGGCACTGTATATCAACTTGAGTATAAGAAATATGTTTTTTTTTTGCTTTTGTCGTTTGGATATATTTCCTTTTTTGTAACAATTATCGTAAGTCTGTGACCTCTCGTTTCCCTTGTCCATTTCTCCCAGTCCACCCCACCACTTGTTGCACGTTTGGCTTGACATTCTGGCGCCCCACCCCAGGGTTCTCTGGATATACAGTTGTCCTCGTTCCACTGAATCGCTGAATAAGAATGTGTTTCATGGGGGCTCCCCCACCTTGGGCTTTCAGTGTCTTTGAGAACGTTGATTTTGTACATCTTGAACATGGGTCTCGTGCAAGCTGATCTCTTTCCTTTCAGTGACGGCTGCCTATGTACTGTTTGTAGGCTGTGTTCTCAATGCGAACCAGTGTGTGCCAGAGGCAGTGATGATTTGACCAGCCTCTCAACCAGTCTTCTGGGTGGTCTTTCTCTGCTCCGAGCAAAAATATATCCAAGGGATCTCACTTCGGGCTGTCCTGATGACATGTTGTACTTCAGTCTAAAGTGTGTGCATGAGTAAACCTGCTATTACCTAATTTATTGTTTTTTTTAAATAAAAAAAATGAATTTTTTTCCTTTTTTTTATAAATGTTTATGCCAGTTTCAAAGTTGACCTGTAGTTATTCTGATATTTACCACGTTTGTGATTAAATTCCTCATAACATTTTATTTGCCTTCATTTGATGTTGTTATTCTATCTGTGGCCCTCTCCCTTTTGGATTCCCTGCGTATCCTGCACACTACAGGGTTTTCTTGTTGTTGTGCAAAACAATGACAGGTCAAGAAGTTTCTGTCCCCCGCACAACTGCGCCTCACTCTCAGCCAATGTGTTCTGCAGCAGCCAAGCCTCTGGCCGTCCCACGAGCTCGTGACCTTGGCTTGACTCCTGCCCTTTGACTTTTGGGTCCCATTCCTTTGGGTGTAGCCCCAGTGCCAGTTGGGTGTTGGGTGGGGACAGGCTACAGCAGCAACCTGAATCCTGCTCCTTTCTATCACCTGACTCAAGGGTCAAGTCATCTGGTGCCCAAATGCAGCAAGACCTGGATAATTTCCGGGTTTAGACTGACAACTGGCAAATGATGTTTATGCCACAGAAGTGCCAGGTAGTGACCATCTCCAACAAGAAACCAACGAACCATTGCATTCTTGACATCCAGGGACTTGACTGTCAACATCCTAGGGGTTACCATTGACCAGAAACACAACTGGATTCACCACATAAATGCAGCGGCTACAAGAGCAGGTCAGGGGCTCGGAATACTGCAAAGAGGAACTCACCTCCTGACTCCCCAAAGCCTGACCACCATCTGTAAAGCAGAACTCCCCACTTGCCTGGATGGGTGCAGCTCCAACAACACCGAAGAAGCTTGACACCATCCAGGAAAAAGCAGCCCACTTCACTGGCATCATATACACCACTTAGAACAACCATTGCCTTCTCTGCTGACACTCAGGAGCAGTAGTAGTAGTAGATGCACAAGGGTGACTCACCAAAGATCTTCAGGCATCACCTTCCAAACCCAGGACTTGACCATCTAGAAGGACAAGGGCAGCAGATACATGGGCACACCACCACCTGCAATTCCCCTCCGAGCCACTTACCATCCTGACTTGGAAATATATCGCCGTTCTTTCACTGCCGCTGGGTCAAAATCCTGGAATTCTTCCCTTCAGGGCATTGAGAGTCTACCTACAGGTCATGGACTGCAGCGGTTTAAGAAGGCAGCTCACCCGCTCTTGCAGAAGTGCAATTAGGGACCAGGCAGTAAATGCAGGCCCTACCTGTGCTGCCCAGATTAAAGGATGCCCCTTGGGTATCTCTTCCCCATTCAGTTTGGTCGTGAGTGCTCTGTCTTTGAATACTGGTGGGTGTTTGCCATGCCTTGGGCCTTCTGACCTTTAGATTTTGCAAAACCAGAGAGTGGCAAGGGTAAAAGATGGATCAGAAGATGGATTTCAAATGGAAAGGAGGGGAGAGAGCAAGCAGCCTGGTGGGTTTGGTGATGAAGTAGGAAATGAGGCTGAGTTTTCTGAGTCTCGCAATAACAGACCCAGAGATGGGACGGTCACATCAGGACAACGCCGTGAACCGCTCCAGGTGTTGGAAAAGTTGTGAGGAAGTTTTCCTGGGTTTGCCAGGTGCCTATCTAAGGGAGCTGGCAGCCACTTTGAGAGTGATTTTCAGGGATCCTAGAGCACACCACCTCCTCTCTCTGTCCCTCCATCCTCCCTCAGTGTACAGAGCTTCCCAGCTCCACGGAGCTTCTATCAGGGCCATGAGATCCACATATCAAAGAGGGAGCCATTGGAACAAAGCCGACAAGTGCTGTTAGCTCAAGTTTCTCTGCTTGGAGTCCCACCGTCCTCGGCTGCTGTGAACCTTCAGCTGCATCGCTGGGTGTGTACATCTTGGGATGCCCTGGTGGTCTCCAACCTGCATGGGCAGTGCCCACCTCCAGTGAGGTATACTCGAATGGAAAGTGCAGAGGCTGTTCCTCCAGGGAAAGGGTTGCATTGTTTGAAAAGCCAGTCCATGGGGCCTCATTCAGGACCCCCTTTCAAACCCAACAGCTGCTGAGTGTTGCTGTACAACCTTGATGTTGGACAAAGGGGATGGAGAGAAACAAGTCTGAGGTATCGTGGATCTTGTGCAAATGTGCCCCTGTGTGAAGTGGAAGCAAGGGCCAACACGGACTAGTGAGGCCGAAGGGCCTGTTTGGTGTTGCACGTTCTCTGAATGTAGGTATTTATTGCTTGTTTGACACACCTGATGCCCATTGAGAAAGGTTTGGGATTCACTGATTCCACAACAGAGCAGCCAACTGCACAGGTCCTGAGAGCTGGCCTTCCACGTTTTGAAAGGGAGGTGAGGGTAATGTTGGAGCGTTTGAGCAGGATATGGGCCATGTCCATCTGCAGTGGGCTGCATGTTGATGTGACTCAGTAAAGTGCTGTCTGACCCTTCTGCAGTCTATTCCAGAACTCTGACCCCTGAGTTTGAAGAGACAATAAGTCAAATTCATTTCACAGGAGAGTGCCTCCTGCCTGTGCAATTCTCACCAACCCTGCATTTTCCCAACTCTGCAACCCTCCTGGCCCTTCTAAGGCCCTGGTAACTTGCTGACCAGCGTGAGAACTGTGGCCCGTACTATACCACATATTCGGAGTTCCCTTCCCAAATCTGTCCCATGTCGCACCTGCCACGTCCGAATCAGGTCTTGATAAAAGTCACGTATCAGATGTTCTTTATTCCTCCTCCCCCTGGCTGCCTTCCACATCCATTGCTCTTCCTGTTCCCAAAGCCAACATCGCCACCGCCGCTCTCCCCACCACCACCATTACCGTAAAACACCGAGGGTGCTGATCCAGGTAGTAACCGAGCCTGTGCCAAGAATATGGTGAGAGACAGGATGAAGGAAGGAGGCCTGTGTCAGTCGCCAGACCTCACGAAGAACATAACAGTCAGTCGGCTACAGTAAGACCGAAAGATTAAAGCAAGTGCCCATTTCCCCAGACACGGTACATTGTGATTTGAAGGCTCACAGTAAAAAGGCCCAACAGGCGTTTGCTTACTTATATTTTTGTGTATCCATCGTGTCTTCAAAAAAGAAATAATCCTGGGCATTTGCTTGGAATGATTGTTACCAGCCCCTGTGCTGTCTGAGGAGTGGAACTGAGTGATGTCAGGGACTGTGTGGGTACATTTCTTGCTTGGCCTGACCTGACTGAACTACTCAAAAGTTCAATTGCACTCTGTCTTCCTTCCCTCCCCTCTTTGAACCAAAGATGTCCCCTGACCAGGTCACACTTGGGGAATCTTGAAAGAAGGGAGATATAATCTCTCCAATTGGATGGGGGAGCGAGAGAGAGACCAGTGTCCCATGCAGTGACTAAGGTGTTTGTTGTGATAATGTCATTGATTGTATGGACCCCATGTCCCACGTGAGTCATTCAGGATGCAGTGTGCGCGAGGCAAGTACATGTGTGGCATTGTCACAGAATGTTCAAACCCATTATTTGAAAGTTAACTTTGTTAACGAAAATGGCAGAATGTCTCTTGCAGCAAGAGTACGACCAGGAACCTAACAGTTAGGGGTCAATAAATGTGGAGCTGGAAAAGCACGGCAGTTCAGACAGCATCCGAGGAGCAGGGAAGTCAATGTTTCAGGCTGAAACCTTTTCCACTGACTTCCCTGCTCCTCAGATGCTGTCTGACCCGCTGTGCTTTTCCAGCTCCACATTTATTGACTTCTCAGCCAGAGTTAGCTGACCAAAGGCCAGATCTGACTTTGCAAACTCTTACTGGATCTTGGCATTCCAACCTCGGGCATGTTTTCACTTTTTCATCCCCAAATCCGTTTTAGCCTGAAATGAATCTTTAGAAGGTGGCTAGTTCCTCAAACTAATTCCTGTCATTCTTCAGTGTATTTTGGCAGCATTACTCCTGGAGGCATCTCCCTTCAGGCAGGGAAGTTGCAAGGATGATTGGTGAGGATAATCCTAAAACCCCAAAGACAGGCCAGTCAGGAAGAGTTGAACGCAACTGCAGCTCTTCTTTATCTCCACTGGTGACCTGGGAAGGACCTCCAGCTTCTGAGGAGAGGGTGGGGTGGGGGGGGAGGTAAGATGGTGTTTTCAATGGAAGGGACACCGAACCTATGGAGCCTAAGCTGGCCACTGATGTGTCAAATCCAGTCAGCAATTCAGGAGAAATTGGAAAGAATGTCTCAAATGTGGAACTTGTCACCGCAACAAGTGGATACGCAGGGCAGTGTTGCTGTGTTTTCGGAGAAGCGAAACGGCACACGAGGTTGAGGCTTTTGCTGATCCACAGGCACGGCCAGCAATTATTGCCCATTACCTTGTGGCCTAACTTTGATGGTGAACTGCTGCCATCTGTACAAAGGACACTGGGACGGCATTCCAGGATTTTGGCCCAGTGACGTGGGGGAGGATCGAAGTGGGGATGCTGTGTGACGTGGAGGGACATTAGACACGGCATTCCCACGCTTCCTTGTCTTTCTGCCTGGTAAAATGTGAGATAAAGACCCTCACAAGGAGCAAAAACACCAACTGGGATCCATTGGGCTGGACGGCCTGCCCTCATGTGGTCCATTCAATGTTTCCATAGATGTTTCCACTGAGGTCTCTCCATCAAACAGCAAAAGGTCGGGGAGGCTAATGTGCTAATACATGGATTCACAGGTGGCAGCGTACAGACCTTCTGCCCAGCGAAGGGCAAACGGAGCTGGGAATGTTGGAATTACAGGTCGGCCAGGATGCAACTGAATGCTGGCCTCAGCTTGAGGGGCGGAATAGCCGCATCCGATGAGTCAGTCAAGTTCCACTGGCAAAGGCTTCAATTTTGGGTTATCTGCTGGCTTGGACCCTCAAGGAGGCTGCCGAGAGAGGGTGAAAGAGAGAACGTTGAAACCCAAAGACTCCTGCCCGCTGGGGCTTGGCAGAGAGAAGATGGTGACAGGTCCCGGGGAAGGATGGTGTGAGCACCAGCTGCTGAGTGTTACTGAAGGTGAGCTTCGAGTGCAGGAACCTGAGCAGAGGAGCGGGAATGGCCAGAGGCTCCACTGGTCTGAGTGCAGCAGTAAGCTCTCCTTGGGCTGCACACACTGACCATCGCAGAATTCCAACTCAGGTTGGCTCGGCCAC